GTGGTTCAACCATGCTAACCGTGCCAGTCTCCCATCATATTTAGGATTAGGTTTCGACATAGAATTTGAGGAAGACAGTGTACATATACAGACCACAGCAGACATTAACTGGCTTTGTTCACTAAAGTCCTATGCAAATATGAGGAGTTATAGTAGAAATGGAGAAGGCAAGGACCAAGGAAAGGGTATGGCTGACCATGGAAATCAATATCAAAGGCATATCGGCCAGGCATGGTGGCGCACACCTGTAATCCCAGCACTCGGGAGGCTGAGGCAGGAGGATCGCTGTGAATTCCAGGTTAGTCTGAACTACACAGTGAGACCCTGTCTCAAAAAAAAAAAAAAAAAAAAAACACAACAACAACAAAAAATCCAAGGCATATCTATGCATAAAGTTTTGCCCCACAGGTTTTGTTTTTTTGAGACAGGGTCTCAGTGTGTAATTGAGACTGACCTGGAACTCACTGTTAGCCCAGGCTAGTCTTGAACTCACAGTGATCCTCGTGCCTCAGACTCCTGAGTGCTGGGATTACAGGCATGTGCCATCGCACCAGACTTCCCACCAGACTTTGTTTTTGTAGTCATACATACCTGAGTTCTAGTTCTGGCATTGCTCTGCTAACCAATTACTTTATCTCTTTGAGCCTAAGTTTCCCTGTCTAGAATACCTCCTCACATACTTTTGTAAGGAATAAATGAGGTGAGACATGTAAAGCTCTGGACACAGCGTAATTAACACTCAGAATTAGACCCTTTTTAGTAGGGTGGATCATTGGGATTTCATTTACCCAAAGTTTAGTGTTGTTGGTGCCTTTTAGGGCCTCTCTGTTTTTGCAAAGCCCCCCCCCCCGCTGCCCTTTTTTTTAAAAAAAATAAAACATGGTGAGGCTTGGCTCTAAAATGTTTCTGTTAGAAATTTTCAACTGGGAAATAGTTTTTGCCAAATCTCTTTGGTCCTTAACTGGCCTGGAGAAGCCAGCCCATCCTTTTGATCTGTAAATTGCATTTCAAAGCCTTTGTCCCTGGTGGGTTTTAATTAGCTTAAGGCTCCAGCTTTTATGCAGCCATTGTTTCTCCCTCAGGTAAAGGTAGACCTTTACCTGAGGGGCAGCCCCAGTTTTTTCTGCGATATTATGTCCTTTTTCAACTCCTAAAAGGGGTGCTATGGGGTGGGGGGTGGAAGTGGGGATGTCTTGTACAAGACTAAAAGGAAAAATGAATATTAGAATCCTGGTCATAGAGGATATTGGATTAGTCTTGCTGTGCTGTTAAGTAACTATGACATCCTGCCCAAGTCCCGATCCCTCTGTTCATTAGAGTAAAAGCATATAAACTTTGTATTCACCCAAGGTCCCTGCTAATCTGACCTTGGAGAAGTCTCTAGAAACATACCTGGTTTTTTATCTTCCTTCCCCATTATTACCACCAGAAACAGTCCTGCCACCCACCTGTCAGCTCATGGCTAAGCCTAGGCTCTGGAACTGCAGACACCTTGCTCTCATTTACATCTAGTCTGTGAGGAAGTTTGGGCCGGGAGAGAAAATAGCCCATCAAGTCAAGCACCTTTGCTGAATAGAATATCAGTATTTTTAGGGTTCCTGTTCTAAATTAGGAGGAAGAAAAACATAAGACTGGAGGAGGGTTTTGAGGTGAGGGTGGTTGGTCTGTGAGGGTGGGATTTTGAATCAGAAAATAGAAAAAGGTGCCTGGGACGTGTGTGTGTGTGTGTGTGTGTGTGTGTGTCTGTGTCTGTCTGTCTGTCTGTCTGTGTCTGTCTCTCCTATCTGTGTGTCCCATGGTCCCACCACTTAAGGGAAGCCTTTCAGTCCCCTCTGATGACTTCCTGGAAGATATCATCATGTTCTTCCTAACATTTATTAAACACTTACTTTGTCAAGTCTTCCTTTTACATTACAGGGCAGTGTAAGAGTACAAATGGACCGCCTGTACCATACATATGTCTAAATACTTGAAGGCTATAAGCAAAGCTTACAAATTGAGGTATTTATAATAACTAGAAGAAACATGTCTGTATTTAGAATTCTTGAACTCTTAGGGTTTCTGTACCTCAACTTGGTAGTTCTAGGAGGCATAGTGTTGGGCCCACCTACTTTTCATTTCCTGTTCCTAACTCTTGTTTCTCACTTTGAGATGCCTTATGGACATATGTGTAGTTATTCAACTTTTACCACAGCCCCATACATAACTGTCCTTTTGGGCTTAGGCCATCTATACAGCAGCAGCACAATCCTCCAAAGGATTGTATGTGTGTGCGGGGGGGTGTCTTAAAAGTGGATTTATTTCTGGCTACTTAGGTCCACATGCTCAGGTCTGTTTGTTGCCTGCTGACCAAACCAAAAGTGACTAACTCCAAGGAGATGGAAGGGTCTTGTTTCCCATCCAATCACTATCTCACTGGATATACGTATATGGGTCTTCTACAGTAAGGATCAGAGGGGAGAGGGAATACAGTGAGACAATAGACTGTCTATGCATCTTCTCTCCTGGACCCTGACTTCCTGGTCAGCACCTGCATATTCTGTCTATTCATCTGAGCTGAGGAGAAGAAGAGAAGATGGCAGTTATGCCCTAGGTCTAAGTTTGGAGAAGCCACTTGTCTCTAAAGGAATCAGTTCTGACTTTTAAAGTTCCATGGTTATGCAGGTTCCAGACTGGGGGCTCGTTAGGTGAGTGCCTAGGAGCATATTCCAGATGGACTTCCTTCTTATCCTGGCAGATTCCTCACCTAGAAGATCCACTTCCTGAGGTATTTTTCCCCCTAAGATTAGCAAATAGACGTTCGTGTAATGGGGCTCTTTGGCATAATACAGAATGTGCTCTAGCCTGACCTTGATCTTCATCCAGATGGGCCCACAAGTGGCACTGTTATTAGAATGAGAAGTGCTATAGTCAAAATAGTTACTAATCTTGTAAAGGACCTAACAGTTTGCAAAGTTCTTTTATGTGCATTTTCCCAGACCCAGGTAATGAGATAGAGTAGGACCAAAATTGAAAGACAAAGCAAAAAGTGGGTGCTAATCCCTTCACAGTACCAAGCCCAGGTGCTCAGCAAATGTTTCCTGCTCAGTGTTGCTGGAGGCCCCTGGCAGAAGTCTGAGGGAACTCAAAAGTGTCATGTCCCTGCCAGGGCAATGGTAGAGCCAGCAGTCAGCAGATCTCTGAACCATCATAACTCCCTCTCTTCTCTCAGTCCACATCAAAGACCTTGTTGGCTCCCTTCAGCCAAATCAAGTGGCATCAGCTCTGAACAGAACCAGTCATTTATGTTCTACAGGCACCCACAGACTTTTTGTATATTCTGGTGAATGTATAAGGAATTAATCCTTGAGTCATTTTTCATCCAGGTAGAGAGGGACTTGTCAGACTGTGAAGAATGGGGTGCCTGAGGAAACTAACATTGCATTGAGCATTTCCTGCTGCATACAGACAGTGTTGGATGTTTTTATGGTTTGTCTCCTATGTGTCCTTTACTGCTTTATAAATGCTGATGATTGGGTCTAACGATAAACTGAGTAACAGGTGTCTGTCTCTTCCAAGTCACTTCCAAAGCCGACACCAGGCCCTTCAGTAGCAATAACCTTTAGCCTCCTTGCTTTAGCTTATTGCAAACCCAGCTGTAGGAGCTGTCAGAGTCCCAAGCCCTGGTACAGCCTGTGATTTCCTGGTAAACAGTGCCACCTGCTGATCAGAACATGCCAACTTCAGTCTGGGAGCATCTGGGAGAAAAAAAGAGGTCTCTATCCTGGTGGAACAAAAACTAACATATTTGCCAAGCTTACACTCTTCTCCACTGAATTTACTGGAAAGATGTCCTCTCTAGCCCCATTTTAGGTAAATGGGCTGGTAGGCTACTGAGAGTTTCTTTATATGCTGGGGGGCGTTTGCACCTTGTGAAATGGCTGTAGATTGAGACTGGAGTTTCAGCAACCCTTGCACATGAGTGTAAGACTGGGACAAGGAATACAAATGCCAAGGCTTAACTGTATACCTTTCCTATTGAAATTGAACCTTCTCTTTCTCCTTGAAGCTCTTGTCCAGGTGTAACCCTGGGGGTAGTGGGGGGGGGTTCCTCAGGGTAAAAGACATTGCTACAGTATAGAAAACAAAAGCCTAGCTGAAAATTTATCTTCAAGACATGGAACAAAATTTTGACTGTAAGTATAAAAATGACAACCACTAAAAATAATTTTCAGACAAGCAATCGAACTGAGATATTTAAATTTGCTTTAACTTGGGGAAGCAGAGTGATGAAGCTGAGGGAAATGGCTTAGAAACCAACTGAATGTCTATTACTGGTAAGTTAATGATCTTTCTAACACCTCAAATTTCTGTAAAAAATAGCATTCGTGGGGTCTGAGGATTATTCACTATCCTGTGCCACATTCTGTTCACAGTGAGTTCTGAGACTTAAACACCTTTTTCAAAACAACAGTACCAATAAAAACAGTCATAGCTTGGTCCATGTCTGTATCAGACTAAGCAATTTTCCTAATACAGTATTGTTCTAGAACAAGCATTATAGAACTTGAGTTACCATGTGGACTCTGTTATAATTTTACATTGAAGGAACAGAAAGAAGATGTAGAAGATCTTCAAATCTAGATTCTAAATGAGGTAACATTTGAGATGAGTATTAAAGATGTTGTGGGCTTAAAAGAGTTAAGAGGACTAGACAGTCCCATTCACTAGCTATTACTCCAGTAATATGGACTCTCAGAAAGTTAGATTCTTCACATAAACAAATATGTGGATCTAATTATGTGACTACAAAATAAAGGAACATAAAGACAAAGTATCTAGCGTGGAATAGTAGCCAGTAATTGGGAACCCTTGGTAATACAACAAGAAAATAAGATGTAGAAACAGGCGGCTGGGTGTTGGAAGGCAAAGAGCAATCCAGCTTAGTCAGGCTGTGGGTCATAAGCAGCCTTTTGTGCCCAACTTGGGGACCTAAACTCACAGTGACACTCTGTCCTCAGGTGGCTACCATGTCCTTGAAGATCCAGACAAGCAATGTAACCAACAAGAATGATCCCAAATCCATCAATTCTCGAGTCTTCATTGGAAACCTGAACACAGCTGTGGTGAAGAAATCAGATGTGGAGACCATCTTTTCCAAATACGGCCGTGTGGCAGGCTGTTCTGTGCACAAAGGCTATGCCTTTGTTCAGTACTCCAACGAGCGCCATGCCCGGGCAGCTGTGCTAGGAGAGAATGGGCGGGTGCTGGCCGGGCAGACTTTGGGTAAGTTAACTCTTTTAAAAGGGCTCTCCTAACATCCTCCGAAGTAGCTGGTGTCCTTCATTCTCCAGTTCTCTAGTATCCTCCTCCTTTAGCCCCACCACCACTTCCACTCCTCTTATAGGTGGTATTTGTTGTAAATTAAGTAGTTACAAAGCCCTGTGGGGAGAATTTTAGAAGCCCCTGGAAGATGCTTCTATCCTGTCCCTGCTTTCTCACTGCTTCTTAACAATAAGCTTTATGGTTCCGTTTAAAAGGTAGATTCCCCAGAGAAAGGGAACATGGTGGACTTAACATAGCCTATTACCCCAGCCTATAGTTGACTCAGGTTGAAGCCCTGAGAGCGAGGAGAGAGCTAGGAACACAAGAACAAAGTAGGGAAGATCCCCTCAGCCTTGGTGGTGCATATGTGTAATATTGACTATGCTGGTGGTCTTTCTTGGAATATGTACTCATCGTTATATACACATTTCTGTATATGTATGGTCAAAAGGCGACATCTGTATAATGTATTTGTGAATACAGAATGTATAGATGTGACAACATCTATATATGAAGAATATGTGGAACCGTACCCTTATATGTAAATGTGTGATATACATGGTCTGTGTGATTGGTTTGGGAGTGTGCATGCATGTATATGAATGTATGAATAGGAATGTCTCTGTGTGATACCTGGGTCTGATATTTATTTGTTGGTGTTTTTGGTTTTTTGAGACAGGGTCTTACTATGTAGTTGAGACTGACCTGGAACTCACTATGTAGCCTAGGCTGGTCTCCAACTCACAGCAATCCTCCTGCCTCAGCCTCTGGAGTGCTGGGATTACAGGCGTGTGCCACCACGCCCGGCTTGGGTCTGATTTGAAGATTTAACCATGTGAAGGCCTTTGTCTACTACCTCAATACCACGTATATGTCATATAAGCCATGAATTGCTGTGTGTGTGCACACTGGTGATATGAACACAGGCACCCTGCCGTCAGGCCAGTATTCTGACGCTCCCTCTTCACTCCCACAGACATCAACATGGCTGGTGAGCCCAAGCCCAACAGACCCAAGGGGCTAAAGAGAGCAGCATCTGCCATAGGTAGTTGGGGCATTCTGTCTGTCTGTCTGTCTGTCTGTCTGTCTCTCTCTCTCTCTCTCTCTCTCTCTCTCTCTGTCTCTCTCTGTCTGTCTGTATGTCTTCGTAGGATGGTGTCCTCTTTCTACAGAGGGAGTGATTGCTGGTAGTAACTGTGATGAGCCTAGAATTTGGGGAGGCATTTGGAGTTGAGGGCCAATGGAAAGTGGGCTGAGTGGCCACCCTTAAGCTCTAGCCCTCTCCCCTTTGTTTCCCCAGTGGCTACAGCTTTGACTATGATTACTACCAGGACAACTTCTTCGTCAGGTGAGCAGGGGAGGGGCGTGCCCAGGCATGAAACAGCCAAGCTAGAAGGGTCCTGAGAGATTACTGGTGCAGCCTATTAAGTCCTCCAGTTGAGAACTGAAGCCCATAAGTATGGACAGATACTTTGCCCAAAGTTGCTCTACAAGTCAGTGGCAGAGCTGGGTACTAGGGTCCAGTTCTGCAGGTGCCCAGAGCTCTCACCATTACACCATCTTGTCTCACAGTCTTGAATCTGACTTCCCTTCCTTCTCCTAATGAGGCACCAGGGTACTGTACAGCCAAGGAACACATAAATATAGCCAGCTGGAATACAAAACAGTACAGTGCCAGTTGCAGGGAGTTTGAATCCTCGTTCTTTTGCTTTTCAGTCTCCTTAGCCCTGTGAGACGCCCAGCCAGCCAGAAGGGAGCCTAGAGCTTACCCTGTTATTCACACACACTCCAGTACTGGGGGATTAAATTCAAGACCTTGCACTTGCCAGGCAGGTGTGGCAGCATTGAGCTACATCCCTAGCCCTTGCCCTTATATTTATAGCCATATGGAGGTCTGAGTTAGTACCTGGTGGGTTGTGTCCCACTCTCCACACCCAAGCCTACCAAGACCCCAGTCTTAAAGCTGTGGGCTCCCACTCCAGTGGTAAATAACCACATTATTGAGTAGAAGTCATGGTAGATACTGTCCCAAACCTATCCTCCTCCTCTGCTTCTTTCTCCCTCTAATTTACCCCAGGCAACCCAGGAAAAACAGAACCTTTTTAAGCCTTGATGTTTCTCATCTGTGAGTGGTTTTAGGAGATATTATGATATGGTAGAAAGTACCCTAGCCTAGGAATCAGAAGACTTAGGTGCTAATTCCAGCTCTGCCACTGAGTGAATTATGTGACTTTAGGCAAATTCTGTGAAATGGGCTTGCACCAAATCATCCCTCAGGCCTCCTTTAGCTCTGAGATTCTGTGGTTCAGTGATTCTGACCAAGGCCAGAGCCGTCCCCTCCCCTTGGTAGAAATACAGGGTCCAAGATTGGACCTGCTCCCAGAGACTGTCCCATTTCTAGCTCCATCACCTTCCCCAGGGCAGGGAATTTCTGAACAAAGGAGTGCCACAGATGGCACTTTGAATTTCCCCGTGAGGCAGGTGTCATATATAGCATCAGGAAGTAGTACCAAAGTGTATACCTGACCAAGGCTGTGATTCTCTGTAGAATAGTGGTAGTAGCATATGTGGGAAAGACATCTACTAAGCCTGGTGAGCTTCTCTATCTGGTAAGCAGGAAAGGAAGTCCTCCTGCAGAGGGCTGGGTGATCGCGCTGGTCTGGGGGCCCTGGCATCTGATTGAGTTCCCCAACCTTGATGTGCTGTCAAGCTCTGGCCTGTCTGGAAATGGAGCAAGAGAGGTGTTGAGGCGGCCAGTAGGAAAGGGCTTAAAGTCTAGCCTCACATCTCTGAGCTCGTCCTGACTTGAAATTCTAAGTACCCTGAAATTCTGTGTAGCACGTCTTCTAAAGCGTGTTTTTAATCAAGCTCTTACTCTCTACCTTCAAGCTGACATGACCCTGAAATTAATAGCCATCCTCATTAGGTAAATGGGAAAACTGAGTCAGCTCACGGAGACTCGGGGATTCCCACCTGCACCCACTCCCACTCCCATTCTGGGGATTTGTACTGCTTGTAGAAGTGCAGACTGACCGGATGTTGGGGTGGCGGAAGGTAGGTTGTGTAACAAGGCAGGTCTGGGTCTCAGTGATCTAGGGAAGGCTCCTTCCTGGGAATTCCTGTTTGCTTCTCTGTTGACTTGGGACCACTATCACCTGCTGTCTTTCCTGCCAACACCTGGCCAGGCTGGCTGAAAGGAAATACCAGCAACCATCAGGGCCCAGAAAGTCTTCACAGGGGCTTTTAGGAGCATATAGTGCCCTCCCCGCAGCCCCTCGCTAGCCAGATGTGAAAGGCTGGTGCTGCAGTGCTTCTTGGTGGCCACAAGCCATACTGCAGCCTCTCACCTCTTTGCCCTCACAGGCTCTTCGACTACCGAGGTCGCTTGTCGCCAGTGCCAGTGCCCAGGGCAGTTCCTGTGAAACGACCCCGGGTCACAGTCCCTTTGGTCCGTCGTGTTAAAACTACCATACCTGTCAAGCTCTTTGCCCGCTCCACAACCATGACCACTGGCTCAGCCAAGATCAAGTGTGAGTAACTCTGTCTTCTTCTTGGATAATTTATATTTTTATTGTTAGCAAATAATAGAATCACATTTTTTTATATTGGAAAATAGGAAAAGAAACAAATCTCCCACAGTTCTACAGCTCTAACACAACCAAGTATTTTCATGCATTTCTGAGAGAAAAATGCTGACATTTGAGAAGGGGCTTGAGATGGATACAGAATCTAGTGTTGTTACATGGAGCCCAGTGAGGAGATAGTGTTATCTTTCCTGTAGTAAGGACAAGCCAGTCTACACAGGTACATTACTCCACATTCTCTCTCATGTTCACACACTGTAGTCAGGAGACTCTGAAGAGAGTCTTGGATACTGGTTCTTGCTGAAGTGCACACAGGAGCATCCTATGAGCCTGCATTCCTGTTCCTTCTCAGTCCCTTTCAGATTAAGTGGTCTTGGAGAGGAATAGTCAGATTCAGAGTTTTGGGCTAGTTACTCTGTGGGTGACCTCCAGGCTATCTAAGAAGCCTTTCCCCTGCCCAGTAAGGAAAAACAAAAATCTGTTTCTGATTGACAGAATAGGACTGGGGTTTTGTTAGGTTTAAGCCCCCAAGTGACAGTCCTGTCCCCTAATTCCCAGTAAAGAGCAGTGAGCTGCAGACCATCAAGACAGAACTGACACAGATCAAGTCCAACATTGATGCTCTGTTGGGCCGCTTGGATCAGATCGCTGAGGAGCAAAAGGCCAACCCAGGTCAGCCTTTGAGGGTCCTTTCCCAGTTCAGTGATCAGGGGCACAGGGCAGAGTATGGGGTGGAGGGTCAGAGGTTGGGGTGGGGTCAGAAGCTGGGGTGGCAGTCAGAAACAGGTGGGGTTCAGATGCTGAAGTAGCCTCCAGTTCCAGAGCCCTCAGACCCCAGTCTTCTTGGACCCACACGGTGCTGAGACCAGCTTCTGCCAAGGTGCTGGGCAGTTGGTCTGAGCTGAATTTTAGTCCCTCTTCCTTCACCCCAACCCTCAAGATGGCAAGAAGAAAGGCGACAACAGCAGCAGTGGTGGTGGTAGTGGTGGTGGCAATGGCAGTGGCAGCGGCAGTGGCAGTGGTGGTGGCAGTGGCAGCGGTGGTGGCAGTGGCGGTGGCAGCGGCAGCAGCAGCAGCAGGCCACCACCACCCCCAGAGGACACACCTGAGGCAGGCACACCCCAGGAAGAGGCCCAGACCCGAGATGATGGTGACGAGGAGGGGCTGCTGACACATAGCGAGGAAGAACTGGTGAGGGCTGGTCAGGGGTCTGACTGGGTGGGGCTGGGACTGGACTTTGCACTCTGGTGGCGGGAGGGCAAGGGGGGGGACTCTAAGCTGGTTGGTTCCCCTGTAAGCTCTCTTTTCTCTCCTTCCCAGAGATTCCAGTCCTGTGGTGTGGAGGGAAAGTAGGATTGCCTATTTGATAATCCCTCAGAAATCCCCCTAAGAACGAAGGCAGACCTAGGTGAAGCCCAGGACTATTTTGGCTTCTTTTTTTCCACAAGGCTCAGAGAAGGGAAGAATTATGTTCCAGGAGAGCACACAATCTGTGAAGTTGTGGAGAGAGGGACTAGGGTTGTTTGGGAACCCCACAGGGAGGAAGTGGGCATCAGTTCCACAAGAGGACTTTCTAAAGGTTATTACTGCTCAAGTATGAAGCAGACGATGTTATAAAGGAGCGAGCCCCTGTCTGTGTTTCAAGCGTTCAAGCTGAGTCCAGGGAGCTTACATTGAGTGGGAGGGTGGACCAGACTCGCGTCTGTAAGATGTCTGCTGTATACATGCAGCTTGTGTACTTAGTGGACACCCAATGAGTACCAGCAAACTTGCTAACTTGGTTAATCTTACAGGAAGACTTGTATTACTCAGAGTATTACTGTTCTCACATTTTACCCCATAAAAAAGCTGAGGCCTAGAAGGGTCAAATAGCTTGTTCAGGGCTTTATAGTTAATGAAGCTATGCCAGAGTTGGAGCCCAAGCATTGGGTCTGGAGTTTATACTTTCATTGATGTTGGACTCTAGCATGTGGACAGATGGGCTCATGGCCAGCTAGTGAAGAAGTCCTCTATGTGCCCGGATTGTCTCTTTCTTTGAACCTAGCCTGATATTCTACCTTATTTTCTTGGGCTTAGTAGTCTCCATAAAGTCCTAATTAAGACTTAGATGTTCCAAAGATAGGGAGCCCACCAGTCTCCAAGGCTTTCAGTCTATTCTGGTCCAAAGAAGTGTGCTCTCTGCTACTTCTACAACTCTGGCTCCTTCTGTCTCCTATGGGGCCTTTCAACCACCTTCTCAGGATTCCTCGCCAGCCTTACTGGCTGACTGATAAGTCATTACCCTTTCAGACTGGGTCCTCCAGATGTGCTGTGGGTCTGGGACCTTTCTATATAGATGGCTTAGGGCAGAGCTCAATAGTTTGCAGTGAGTGATGTGTGGTTTCTGCTTGCCTTCTCCTCAGGAGCACAGCCAGGACACAGATGCGGAGGATGGGGCCTTGCAATAAGCAGGTATGGTGGATCTGGTAGCAGAGGGAGGGAAGCAGTGAAGTGAAGGGTGTCCTTTTCCTCTGAAGCAGGGCCTGGTAAGGTAGAACTATACTCAGGAATGGAGAAACCTTCCACCTGTAGCCATTTTGCCACATCCCTCCGTGGCGGGAGCTAGACAGGTGGAGATGCAGCTGCCGTGATACAGTGCACAGCTAGGCCCACCCAGCAAGGGTTCTCAGCACGCTCTAGCCACATTGCTGTGTTTTACCCTTAAGAAGCTCCTAGTCGGAGAAGACAAACCTTTGCAAACCAGTGTGAGCAGGACAATAGAGGGAAGCCCAAGTGAAGGAAGAAATGATGTGTAGCGGAACTTGCTCATGATTGATGGAGTGGCATTCCACACTGAAGGAACAGCCTCAGCAGACACAGTGCTCTGACAGTCCTGGGAGTGTGGTAAGGCCAAGGGCTCCTGTGCTATAGGCTTAGTTCTGCACAGTAGAGAGAAGACACTGTTCATCATCAAAGGGTGATGATTGTGAAGTAACTTCTGTGCTAGGCTTAGGGGCTTGGACTTGAGCCTGTTGCAAGGAGAAAATGCCTGGTGTGAGAGGAGCTACACCTTCTTTATCTGATTTCATCTTCAACTCTGCCGTAAGGTTAGGGATATGCTGGTATTACAGACATGGAATCTGAGGCACTTGAGGGTGCAGGGAGATGTCATATTTCTTACAGGATCCCAAGATAGTAATGGGTGGAACTAAGGTTTGAACCCAGTGGTGTGCCTCAAAGCTCACTCTGGCCCTTGTCCACCCTGCACTGCTGTAACCTAGAGAAAAGCCAGGTCATACCTAGCTCTGCCTACTGTCTGACCCATCCTCTAGGGGCCATGTTCATAATAAGATAGGCTTGATAGAAGATCTCAAAATACCATTGCTCCCAGGGTGTCTTGGTACATGGACCCATTCATGCTATTAGGTATTCCATCGGCAAAAGCTTCCAGAGTGGTTAAGTTTAGAAAACTCTTTGTGTGTAGTCTTCTTGGCATTTTATGACATATTTTACTTTGGAATTTAGTTCACAGATAGGTGTAAGGGGCTCAGATAAGGACCTGGAGGCTCTCCATGATTACATAGCCAAAACCATGGTCATATTATCAGGCCAGAGCCATAGGAAACATCATTCCACCTTCTTTCCTAACCTGGCTCCCTTCCTCTGAGCCTTAGTCTCTTCTTTGTCTGTTTCTCAGCCTGACAGGAGCAGTGGCCACCAGAAGGAGAAGGGCATCACTGTCCAAGGCCTCAAGCCAGGCACCCACCCACTGGATGCCAACTTGTAGCGGGTACCAGAGGAAAGCTGGCAGCAGGCACCTCCCCCCCCCACGCATCCCAGGCCAGTGCCACATCTTCTGCAGGTGGAGTTACCAGCTACCCCTTCCCCATACACCTTCCCTGTCTGTACTGTCCAGGCCAGAGGGCGGAGTAAGAGATAGCCCTACACTCTGCCTCCCCTCCCCAGGACATTCCCAGGCTTGGGGTTTTTCTATAGGTTCGGAGGGGGGTGGTACAGGATGGGGACCTTAACAATAAAGAGATTGGATCCAGCCTGTTCTGAGATGAGATGGTTTGTGTTTTTTGCATGATGGTATCCTGGCCCTTCTGCCCACTATAAAGTTGGTCTGATGAACCACTTCTGTCTTAACCTTTTTTACTTCTCTCTCCTATGGAACACTGTCTAGGGCAGTGATGGCAAACCTTAGAGTTTTTAATGATAAACAGCGTGCTGCAGCATGGGTGCCATAGGTTCACCGCCATTGGTCTAGGGTGTGTAATACTCATCTGTGTGGGCCTTAGTTTCCTCAGCTCAATGGTAAAAACGGCCATTGGGACTGCCGGAGAGGGTCAGATGTGCAAGCGCCCATGAGTGTTCCTTGCTGGCTGAAGTACCAAGTAATTGTGACCCATTTACCATCCAGTAGTAGATTGTAGTCTATAATTTTTCTTCAGTTCTCACAAGTCTGTGCCCACCTCTAAAATGATTTTAAAATCTGCCATTTCCTCTACCTTCTGTCCTGCCTTAGGACACCATGATTTTTGTCGCTTGGACTTGGTTCT